AAAATAAAAAAAAAAAAATAAAGACAAAAGAGGACATTAATTATTTTGCCTACTTTCCTTATTTATGGTAGTTGGGCTAATTTATGTTTAGTAGTGTAATTGGCCCAACAATAATGAAACTGACGTGCTGGGCTTGGAGAAAAATGGATGAGGAGGGCGATGTTTGGGATGAAGAGGATTTACTTGCCATAAGCCGCAGCCCACAGGGAAATAAAAAGAGAAAATTACTCCGTCCACCACCAATATTACTTTTATTTGCACATATACCATCAATATTTTTTATTTGTAGTTATACCTATACCCTAATTTTTATTTGTACTTCTACCAATTCCTAACTAATACTACCCAAAAATTTGAATGAAAAAAAAAAGTCGTTCGTCTTCTCCCTTGAAAAGTATCCAGAACTTCTCCATCTTCGTCTAATTCCTCTCCGCTTCCACTCGTCTACTTCGCTCTGCCTCCACCATCTCACATCAGCAGTGGCGAAATTGGGCGAAGGCGAAAAACGGTGGATCTGGAAGACCGCATCGATGGAAACTCAGTGGTCCTGTCACCGACGGGACTGATTGCTTCGAGTGGTCATGGATTTCCGATGGAAACTCAATGGTTACATACAACTTTGTTTAGGTGTCCTATATTCCGACGAGAATGTCGGTGAAGATCCCAAGATCCAAATCACAATCAAAGATGATGGGCCGATCGATAAGAGATTTATGGAAACGTTTATCTCCAAGAGATTTGTCTTTAAAAAACTCAAGCAGTACATCGAGGGCCAAAGAGGATTTGTATGTAAAGGTCGCCACCCAAAGAAACCAGTGTCTGGATCTGGTGCGAAAAGATTGAGTTACTTTTGTGTATATTTTATGTATATGTTTAGTATATAATAACAAACTTCGTTTATCTTCTGTGTATATCTTACGTATATCTTCGCAATATTTTCGGTATATAATGACTAGATTGGTTTATCTTTTATTTATATATTTTGTGTATATTTTTTGTATATCTTCTGAATATTTAAACTGATTGAATCGAATCCAAGACCCGGATTAAGGCTCGAAATCGCAGCCATGACCATCGAGCGTCTGTCGGATCTTGATGAGGACTACCTTATTCAGCGACCTCAGATCGACAGCGAGCCCGTCGAGGAGCCGAAAACTAAACCCAAAGCTCATTGATGAAACTGTTGTTTATCAGCTTTTCATTTTCGGTTATGGAGAGAAACATAATGCATCTTTTTTTTATTATTATTAATGAAGGATCCTGAATCCCGTTAGTTACGGGAGTATTGATGAGGTAAGTTTCTTTTTTTTTTTTGTTTAATGCCACGTTCTTAATTGCCTAGTAATAATTTAAATGTTTTGTTTTACTCACGTACATGCGCAAAAAAGTTATTGCATCTAGTATTCTTGCAATATTTTAACAATCAGCACTGTAACAATGCAAATTGGCCAAAAAAAAACATGCTCGTACATCTCTAGAGTAACATCCCTAGACCGGCCCGGTTTAAATTCAATCCGAGCCCAGACCCATGGTCAACGGGCTTGGCCAGGCCGGGTCTGTGCCGGGTAGGCGGTCCGGGCGGCCCGTGGCCACGTCTACTTATATATATGTGTTTTTTTAAGTACAATCTAAAGATCATAAATTAGATAATGAGCATATCACATTTATAAATTTTATCATTACTAAAATGACGATATAAATATAAACTATTTAGCTTACATATTAATTCTTAAATTTATGCAATATTGGTTGATTAAGACAATTAATTAGATAAAAACTACTGAAATTATTATTATAGCAATTGTGTATACAACTTTAAAGGGCTTAGTTATGTCATAAAAAATAATTCACTGAATTTAATGAAAAAACTTGCTTAATGAAGTGAAAAAAATAATTTTAAATATATAGTTTAAAAAAAAGCTTTAGATTAGAATAATACTTAAATGAGTCTTCATTATTAATTAATAGTAACCATGATATAATAAAATAAATAAAAAATATAACAGTGATTAATGCCAAAGAACGGAAAAGGGCAGAAAATAAAAAAGAGTTTTATTAATTGCTTTGTTAGCAATTATATATATATATATAGATACTGAAAATAAAATATAAATCATCGAAGCAAATAAATTTATCTAAATAATAAATAAGTCAAAAAATATAAACGTGCGAATAAATTAAATGTATAAAAATACATTATTAAATATATAAAACATGCACATTTTCGGCCTATAAAAAATCGCGCCATAGGAGGATTGGACCCTGCACGTGTCGCAATGTGATTGGGTCGTCTGCGCACCTAACAAACCTGAAAGTCTACGATACTGCAAGGTCATACTGGTGGGCAGTTTGGGCATCAAGGTCAACCTCCCGGGAAACACTTTGGGAACAATACAACACACCCCTATATAAAAGGGCGTGGTAGGTTAGTTTTGTTTTTACATTCTCTACACAATTTATACACTTATCTACTATTCATTATCTTCAACCGTGTACCGACTGAGGCATCAGAGGCCTTCGTCGAAAAAACCCCTTCCACTTGTAGGTGTGGAGGCCCTTCGAAGAAGAATAAATCGCTTCCCATCGTAGCAGTTCGTGCAGAGACTGAGTGAGGTCTATTTTACTATTAATGCTAATATTCCACGTATTTGCATATGTGCATTTAATTCTCAGTTATTTGGGAACATTCAACGATTTAAGTTTTGAGAGATTTGATTGGTCGAAAAAAATTGTGTATTTTATATACTTATTAGCGTATTTTTATATACTTAATTTTATCGCAATTATATGTTTTTCAACTTATTCGTTAGTAGATGGATCTAAATGATACGATATGTTTATAATTTATTTTCGATATATTGATTTATTTTCATTCGCCGCGTGACACCAAACGAGAATTTGAGTAGGTCAGTATGGGGGTTCCCATACCAGCTCTGAGTTCAGTCCAAATTCATGCCCGAAATTATATAATTTGAAAGAAAATGGTGGGCTCTAAGGCCCACTACCTTCAGGCAGCCGATTTTCAAACAAATTCACTTGGCCCATAATTTAAACCAAACTCAACCAAGGAGTAGGAATTTCTTTGGCAGCACTCACGCACATAAGATTAAGAAAAAAAGGATATGCAGTCGGCAGCCAAGGAATTTGAGGAGACCACCACTAGTGCTGTTAAATTAAACAAGTCTGGCTCGGCTCGGCTAGAGCTCGACTCGATAAGGCTCATTTTGGCTCGAGTTCGAAGCCTTAACAAGTCGAGCTTGAGCTCATTTAAAGCTTGTTTGGTTAACGAGCCCGATAAGGCTCGAAAAATAAAATTTATGTAATTTTTATAGTTCGGCTCGTTAAAGTTCGAGATCGGCTCGTTAAGGCTCGAGGCCTTAACGAGCCGAGCTCGAGCTCGATTTTTGGCTTGTTTACTTAACGAGTTGAGCTCAGCTCGCTCGGCTCATTAAGAGCTCGAGCTCGAGCTCAAACACCTTAAGCTCAAGCTCGGCTCGGCTCGTTTACAGCCCTAACCACCACCAAGAAGAAGAAAAGGAAAAGAAGCATAGCCGCACGAAGAAAAAAAAAAGAAATGGATAAATCAGCAATCGCGGAGGGAAGCCGCACATGTACACGAAAAGGGATAATTTTATTCTTTTTCTTTTCTTTTTTATTATGTTAGACTAGTTTTTATTTCTAGTTCCGAGGATGTCCAACCTTACGCCTTTTCTATAATTACTTAATTACAAAGATTGATTATTTTTGTATTTGTATGGAATTGATTGTGTTATTTTATTTTTGATCAACCACATAATGTATTTGATTTTATTTACATTGATCACCTAAATAGAATTTTTCATGTATAATGTTGGAATTGCACTTGCAATCCGCAATTGTTGTTAAGTTTTATTCCTTAGTAGCAAACAATAGCCGGAAACTGTCAGCAATAACATGACCTAATTATTAAGTAGACCGAGCTCATGAATCTACTTAGACTAGCCTATTTTATTAGATCATAAAGTTGTTACTTCATTAAATCTAGAGAGCATATTCTAGATTGTCCAGTAGTTAAGGTTTCACCGGAGAGGCAATTTGACTAAATGTAATGTAAGGGAAAATTCGGGTAGCATAGTATGATGTTACCTAGGGCTAATAATTACAAAAGATAGTGAAACTTGACGTCACAATTTATTAAAATATTTGAGCAAGGGCGCGGAAGGAACCTTGAAATAGAATTTTCTTTATATATTTGTATTGATTTTCTTGTATTTCTATTGTTATATTGTTCTTAATTAGATTAAATTTTACAATCCAATTTTCCACTCTTTATCGCTTTTTTAATTTAATTAGTACGAGAAAATCATGATTGGATTCAAACTCCTCGTAGGATCGATCCTTGCTCGCCACTATTACCATTTAGTAGAGGTTAGTCGATGAAAAATATAAATTCTAATTTGTTGCATCACGATGTGCGACTACCAATGGACTTATA